ACACAGACCCATTCTCTCACATGTGGGCCTACCAGCTTTCTCCTGCTTGATTTGAAGCCGCTAGAATTTATGAGTATATATACGTCAAACACGGCACCTCGTAAAACGTATATATACGGCCGCGACAGTCAAAGGGTTAAATATACATACATCGCATATAATAAACATTACATGTTTATATGCTATGTAACGTGTTTCTTATATAATTTTGAAGAAGATATAATAGATGGATTAATGAAAATGTCTATATTAACCTTTTGACTGTTTCGGTCGTATATATACGTTTTGCGCACCACTGTTTCTGACGTATTTATACACGTAAATTCTAGCGGCTTCAAATCAAGAGGGAGAAAGCTGGTAGGCCCACATGTGAGAGAATGTGTCTGTGTGGTCAGTGTGCACCACATAAAAAAAATCCTGCAGCACGCAGTGCGTAATGAGAAAAAAAAACTTTGACCGTTTTTTTGGATTAAAACGCCGACTTTGAGGTGTATTTTCGTATAGTATTTATTGTTGTATTCTCGTTATCATGGTCTCAGGCGATAAAATGGAAAACATATTACAGAAATAGAGATGATTTTGATTACTTTCTAGATGAAAACGACCTTGAAATTGAGCTCAAAGTAGCGGAAATGTTTGATTTTTACCAATATTCAGGAGTAAGCAGATCACACCACACATCCAATACACTTCAACTGGGGAGTCTAATATTCTTTCACTAGTGCACTGATATTATTTATACCATTTTTACAATAATGTAGTAGTCTGCATAACAGTAAATTTTGTATTTTTTTGCATGAATAAAAAATCAAAATAGAAAGCAATAGTAATATAAGAGGGGCCTAGAGACGTCACTAATGAACAGAGGATATGTTATTTTAGTGCCAAGAATGTCTACATTGTTTATTCTGGACCCTATTTTGAAATTGGCATCTTTTTTAATTTGCGTGAAATTGGCCAAATTGCTAATTTCTGACCACATAATTGGGTAGTTCAAATTGGTAAATGGGCAGTTTCTTGTACTCAACAGATAGAAAAAATGGAGTTCTAAAGAAATAACTGAGTTTGGTCAACTGGAACAACGGAATTTGCCAAAAACAGGGCTCAAAGTTGGCAAAATTGCCGATGCGTATATGTCGCCAAGACCGCTAACTTCACGGGAGCATAATTCCGTGAGTTTTCGACCAAATTTCGTACTTTTGGTGTCATTACCATTGGGAAAAGATTCTCTATCATTTCTTAAGAATTTTTTTTTTTTTTTTTTTTTTTTTTTTTCCAAAAATTTATCGAAAGGGGCCTGTGACAGTCAAAGGGTTAGTGTAAAATAAGGCATTTAATGTACAAGTGATTATTATTAAATATACATCGCATATAAACATTGCATGTTTTTATATACTATGTAACATGTTTTTTTGGGCCCATGGTTGCTTATTTTGCAGTTGCACTCAATCAGTAATCACAAAAAGCAATGGATTATAGCAAAATGTTTGGATGAATGAGCAGAAGATTCCTCACTCTCCCAGAGACAGCCGATCTGATTCGCAAGAGCCCCCAGCCGGTGGATGGACGCCTCCCAAATGGCCAATAACCGAATTAACAGCCGATAACCAAGTTGGCCAATAACTGAACCGGCCGATAACTGGGGATCCACTGTATAGGAATGATCCTCAAAGGGTTAAATGAAAACATGTTCTATGGAGGGATGAAATGTACTTGCTGTCTGCTCTGATACAGTTCGTGCAAGTAATATAATTGCCTGTTTTCACAACTCATTTAGATCTATGTGTATTTTCTTCTAGACATTTAATCTCAGCAATGGAAAAGTTGCTCATTTATCACTGTTCAGGAAAAACATGATTACATGTCAGCACATAACATTTCAAGTTACTATTATAACCAGAGTTAGAGAGGAAATTGTAAGAGGATGTAATTGCTTTTTCTAGTTTACAAGGGGGAGCTGAGCTTTAGTTCTTGGTCCTATATAAACTTGCAATTGACTCTTGTGAAATGCAGTAGACTTTCTTATAACAACTTCACATAGCACAATTTTATTGCAGTGCAGTTCAGAAGGTTCAACCAAAAATTTTGAAAGCATGTAATTAAATAAGTCTACATTTAGAAAGGACATAGGAAAGTATTGGTTTTCAATCTGAGTTGTCATTGATTGGAACAATATGCCAACTAGGGTCATAGAAGCTAAAACCTTGGGGAGCTTTAAAAATAGGTTAGATAATTATGAGTGAGAAAGGTTGGGTTTGATTAGGACATGAGGTATTTAAGCTTACTTCTTAGGTAACTTTGGGAATAGGTTGGAAAAATATGTAGTTGGGAAAGATTGGATTTAAGAAGGACCTGCCTATTATGGGCTAATAGGCCTGCCACAGTTCCTTCATTCTTATAAATGAGAAGGGTTGGATTTGAGTGTGATCTGCATAGTATAGGCCAGTAGGATTGTTGCAGTGTTCCTATATTCTTATGCTATTATGGGTGAAAGAGGGTAGATTTGAGTGGGACCTGCACAACATGAATCAGGCCACAGTCTCAGTGCCATTTCTGGCACTCAGGCAGTGGCCTGAGTGCCAGTAATAGCTCAAATGGTGTTGGAAGACTAACCATATTCTTGTTATAGGGCTGTAAACGGTACTCCATTTGCCATGAACGCAGCTCACCACGCCCTTGTCATAGGGCTGCCCTCATTATAGGGGTATAAGCAGTACTCCACTTGACTTGTAGAAGACTCACCGTGCCTTTGTCACAGGGCTGCCCCCGCCATAAGACTGTAAACAGTACACTAGTTGACATGAGTCCTCACCACGTCCCTGCCATTGGGGTGTAAAGGGTACATAACTTGTACCAACTCTGACACTCCTTAGGGAGCCACTGCTGGGTCACCACATGGAGAAGACCTAGGCCAGGATCCATCCTGGCAAACCTATATTAATTAATTAATTTAGTATTACACATTCTTGTGCTTTCTACATTAATGTACCTACTCATGCTGTATTGCTATGATTGTTGAACATGTTGATGATTAATGATAACACTTGAAAAAGTATTTAAATAAGGAACTTGTGTAGTAGAGAAATAATCTTAACTGAGGCATAGCCATGACACCATCAGCTGACTGCCCAAACACATCTCATATTCTAGAGATTCTCCATAACTTTATAGGTATGACAGAGTAGTGTTTACTTGGTTTTGTCTAATAAAGCAAAGGAAGATACAAAAGCCAGTCAACTTCTAAATACTGTCTCTGTTCACTTTTATTATCAACATAGCAATAAAACTTAGAGAGAGGAGGTGGAGGTGCTTATAGCCTGCTGACTCAGGCTTCACTTCAGCCAAAGTCTGTTGTATAGCCACCTCTGCTTTCTCTTATACTAAACAAAATTATCAGCTACTCATGCATACATCATTTAAGTTTATACAGACAATTCAGGTTTTTATTATTACATATACAGGTACAGCATTGATTTTCCAGACCTTTTGGTTCCAAAGCCTTTCCGGATTACTGAGTTTTCCGCCTTTAGAGAGTGCAGTATTCGTTGGTCTTGGGGTTGAATAAGTGACGTACAGTTGGGTGGTAAATATGCTGCTGCGGGAATTTCAAATTCCTGCTCGTAAATATGTATGGATTATAAGAGTTTCCGGACCATCAGTGTCCGGAAAATCAATGTTGTACATGTATTAATGGTACACAGTACTGACAAGTAAATGAATAACACACGTCCAATGCTGTGTCAGTATTTCCAAAACTTTCACTTGAGCAGCAGGGTTCTTCATTAAAATATAGTGGTTATTAAAATACGTGCTAGAAACAAATGAAGACGAGAGTGAGGTGTTCAGTCCCTCGGCCCAGATAGAAGTTATTCATTTCAGAGAGAATGCTGAGGGATGATACACCTCAAAGTCATTTTTCTGCTTAAATCAACTAGTGATACTCCATGGGGAAGTGGAACAGAACTCGTCCTCCGTAAGCCATGCATGTTATAAGAAGTGACTAAAATGCTGGGAGCAAGGGGCTAGTAATCCCTTCTTCTGTATATATTACTAAATTTAAAAAGAGAAATTTTCATTTTTCTTTTTAGTTCACCCTGCCTCGGTGGGATATGGCCGGTTTGTTAAAAAAAAAAATCGAGGCTGAGGTACTAAACACTTCAGTCTCTTCATCAACTGTTTCCAGTATTTTAATCACCTAAGTATTCAACTGAAGAAACTTGCTGTGTTGGTGATGCATTTTGGAAATAGTTACCAAAGTGTTGCACACATCTTATTCATCTAATTCAGATATGTATTGAAGAGTTAAATGTAGAACTCTTATGATTTTGCGGTATTGTTAGAAACCAAAGCCAGAGTCTACAGCTGTCTTCTCATCTCCCAAATGCAGCCTCCTAAAGCATTTTATTACAGCATTCCATTATTTTTCTTGGTTTTTACTTTTTTTTAAATGCATTCATCTTTAGTCTCAGGTTGTTTGATGTAGGTGTGGTAAGTTGTCATTTGTTTCATACAGTTTAGTAAGAAATTGTGGCTTTTATTTTGAAGTTGTTGAAGTATAATTAGTATATAAACTGATCAACCCAAGATCCAACTCATCACAGCAGACCCATGTTAAACCTTGTATTTGTGGTCACAGTGGTGGCCCATGCTGACCTTATGGTGAATAGAAATACATGTATACTGTACCTAGTTGGATTATTCTTATTTAGGCCTGTATGGTCCAGTGGATAGTACACTGGCCTGTGAGTTTTAGGATTTGCATGCCATGAGTTTGAATCCCACCCATTTTGTGACTTACAAAGGATTTAATTTATTGTTTCTCTTGTGGCATTTTTCTCAAACAAATATTGGTTACTGGATTTTTTTATTCTTTAATACAAAACTTAATTACCGTAGAGGCAAAATTAGATTTATTTTTGTTTACTGTTTTAATAAGAATGTGGCAGCATAAACTTCGCTACCATGTACTGGGATTATGTAATGTAAACTTCCATTTGCAGATCTTGAAGGCCTTGGTGGTGTGCCTTCGATCCGACCATTAGAAACATTGCACAATGCCCTCTCCTTGCGTCAGTTGGACGCTTTCCTTGAGCGAATGGCTCTAGCGCAGTTTCGCACCCCACTATCTTCCCCTCCAAAGATGCCTTCAACCCCAAGACACCCTCGCTCACAGCCCCCACCACTAGGTCTTCAGTCTCCTTCATCTAGTAAGTGGTCCAGAGACTCTTCTCTGGAAATAATGTAGACGTGATATTAACTTTTATGGTAATAGTTATGCTCTCATAATGAGAGGATACTGTTGTTATGCTCTTGTAATGAGAGGATACAATTATTAAACAGTAATTAATAGTGAGCCTGATTGCTTAGATACAAAATTATGAGTAACATAATGTTTAATTTATAGCTGAACATGCTGTTTAGATAGAGATTAATAGTAGTATAGTGGTTTTTATAATTGATTTTGTGATAATAGTTCAGTGGTAAAAGATAGAGAGCATAAATTATTGATTTAACACAAAGAAGAGTTATGCGTGTTGAAAGCTCAAATGTTAGGGATATTTTGTTACTTTTGCTCAGCATCCTTCATTAGTATACAAAAAGTTCAGTTTACACTTATACATATACCTGTATGTAGTTGTGACAACATTAATCTTGTGTGTAGAGTACGGGTTTATTTTGTGTACAAGTAACTTTTTTCTTAGGATTATTACAAACAGCAGAGCACACTAGTAAATCTTAGCAGTCTCTCTTTAAGTTATATGTACAGTAGTATCAAGATAGAATTTATTTTACGCTGATTTTTGTGAATTACATTGTATTTTTTTGTATAATTCTGAAGTTGTTCACTCTAGAGTTATTGTTTTCTAAATGGGTTATGAAGTGAGCTGCAGCATTACTTAGGAGTACAAAGAAAAAATATACTTAATTGTGTGTATTAACTTATTTTTACAAAATAAGTAACATTACTTAATGCTAATATAAATATGAAGACAGGTAGTGATATTAATAACCAATTTATTTGCTAGATGTAACTCAAGTCTTTGAGAGTGAGTGCTTAGGCCATCCTGTAAGTATTTAGGCAAAGTGACATTTTATATTCATAAAAAATATGTGAGTATGTTTGTAAAACTGCTTGCCTGTAAAGTTATCCTTATTACTGTACAGTATGAAGAAATGTAAGGCAGGAGCTTTGATTAACTTTAAAACATAGAGGCTGTAGTGGTGCACGAACACTTTTCTTAAGTATATGTTGACTGCTGCTTTGGCTAAAACACTAACATCTTATAATTAGGTCTGCTGGATACAGTATATTGTAGTATTTATTTACCCTATACAGTAAGTTTTCTTATAAAGCTATTCTATGTTGTGATATTTTTTTTTAAATGAAGTTGAAAAAAGCGCATTCCGAATTGACTAGCATGCATTATGAAGGCCTCTTCACATGCTGTTAAATTTTGGATGCATTTTTTCAATCGCACTATATAGAGGAGCTTTATAAGAGAGCTAACTGTACATGCTTTGAATGGCTGCCACATTTGCTGTAACTAAATGTGAAAGACAAGACCTTTAAAACTGCTTGTTGTAAGGCTTCCTAATTTCAGATACCTCCCTTCTGGGATTCTAATTATAGCAGGACTTGGAGTTATAGTCCATGTATAGTGTCTCACTGCCTTTTGTATTGATAAATTTGATTTCTTTGACAAATATAATTTAAAGTCAACTAGAGAAAAACAAATAAGTTTTTAAATAATTTAACTGGAATTGTTATGCATGTATAGAGGTATGATTTATCTGCACTTTGATTCTAACATGCCTGCTAGTTATTCAAATTAAAGTATATTTATTTAAGAATGATAAAAAGAAAGTCTTGTATATAAATGTGTTTTGAATTGTGCATTTTAAGTGTCCTATGCTGTTTTCAAAGTCACTTCAATGTAGTGTGTAACGTCAAATCGAGCAGAATTCCGAAAAATTTAGATTTTTGTCTGGTGTTGTTGTGCCACTGACATTCGGAAGTCATTTGACATTTTAAGCACAAACTATATTACACTTAGTAATAATTTACACCTGATAATACGCAGAAATAAAGATAGAGAACTATTAATGTGATGGTCTGTACCACATATGCTTCAACTGCAAAATATTAGTACATTTGGTTTACACAAATGCATACACACCTGAAGCACCAAGATGTGTGGGTCTTAAGCACCAAGATGTGTGGTCGTTGATGTGTGGGTCTTGAGATCCACAGTATGTGTTGATGTGTGGGTCTTAAGCACCAAGATGTGTGGTCATTGATGTGTGGGTCTTAAGCACCAAGATGTGTGTCGATGTGTGGGTCTTAAGCATCAACGTGTGTGATTTTTGATGTATGACTCCCAACAAACTTGAAAATTTAAACAGTTTTACTGTTTTTTGTCCTAGGTCCTAAAGGGTAAATTGAGGTAAAAAACTGGATAAATCTTCTTCTTCTTCTTTCAACAAACCAGCCGTATCCCACCGAGGCAGGGTGGCCCAAAAAGAAAAACAAAAGTTTCTCTTTTTAAATTTAGTAATTTATACAGGAGAAGGGGTTACTAGCCCCTTGCTCCTGGCATTTTAGTCGCCTCTTACAACACGCATGGCTTACGGAGGAAGAATTCTGTTCCACTTCCCCATAGAGATTTTTTTTTTTATTTTTATTATCACACTGGCCGATTCCCACCAAGGCAGGGTGGCCCGAAAAAGAAAAACTTTCACCATCATTCACTCCATCACTGTCTTGCCAGAAAGGTGCTTTACACTACAGTTTTTAAACTGCAACATTAACACCCCTCCTTCAGAGTGCAGGCACTGTACCTCCCATCTCCAGGACTCAAGTCCGGCCTGCCGGTTTCCCTGAACCCCTTCATAAATGTTACTTTGCTCACACTCCAACAGCACGTCAAGTATTAAAAACCATTTGTCTCCATTCACTCCTATCAAACAGGCTCATGCATGCCTGCTGGAAGTCCAAGCCCCTCGCACACAAAACCTCCTTTACCCCCTCCCTCCAACCTTTCCTAGGCCGACCCCTACCCCGCCTTCCTTCCACTACAGACTGATACACTCTTGAAGTCATTCTGTTTCGCTCCATTCTCTCTACATGTCCGAACCACCTCAACAACCCTTCCTCAGCCCTCTGGACAACAGTTTTGGTAATCCCGCACCTCCTCCTAACTTCCAAACTACGAATTCTCTGCATTATATTCACACCACACATTGCCCTCAGACATGACATCTCCACTGCCTCCAGCCTTCTCCTCGCTGCAACATTCATCACCCATGCTTCACACCCATATAAGAGCGTTGGTAAAACTATACTCTCATACATTCCCCTCTTTGCCTCCATGGACAAAGTTCTTTGTCTCCACAACTCCTAAGTGCACCACTCACCCTTTTTCCCTCATCAATTCTATGATTCACCTCATCTTTCATAGACCCATCCGCTGACACGTCCACTCCCAAATATCTGAATACATTCACCTCCTCCATACTCTCTCCCTCCAATCTGATATCCAATCTTTCATCACCTAATCTTTTTGTTATCCTCATAACCTTACTCTTTCCTGTATTCACTTTTAATTTTCTTCTTTTGCATACCCTACCAAATTCATCCACCAATCTCTGCAACTTCTCTTCAGAATCTCCCAAGAGCACAGTGTCATCAGCAAAGAGCAACTGTGACAACTCCCACTTTATGTGTGATTCTTTATCTTTTAACTCCATGCCACTTGCCAAGACCTTCGCATTTACTTCTCTTACAACCCCATCTATAAATATATTAAACAACCACGGTGACATCACACATCCTTGTCTAAGGCCTACTTTTACTGGGAAATAATTTCCCTCTTTCCTACATACTCTAACTTGAGCCTCACTATCCTCGTAAAAACTCTTCACTGCTTTCAGTAACCTACCTCCTACACCATACACCTGCAACATCTGCCACATTGCCCCCCTATCCACCCTGTCATATGCCTTTTCCAAATCCATAAATGCCACAAAGACCTCTTTAGCCTTATCTAAATACTGTTCACTTATGTGTTTCACTGTAAACACCTGGTCCACACACCCCCTACCTTTCCTAAAGCCTCCTTGTTCATCTGCTATCCTATTCTCCGTCTTACTCTTAATTCTTTCAATAATAACTCTACCATACACTTTACCAGGTATACTCAAACTTATCCCCCTATAATTTTTGCACTCTCTTTTGTCCCCTTTGCCTTTATACAAAGGAACTATGCATGCTCTCTGCCAATCCCTAGGTACCTTACCTTCTTCCATGCATTTATTAAATAATTGCACCAACCACTCCAAAAGTATATCCCCACCTGCTTTTAACATTTCTATCTTTATCCCATCAATCCCGGCTGCCTTACCCCCTTTCATTTTACCTACTGCCTCACGAACTTCCCCCACACTCACAACTGGCTCTTCCTCACTCCTACAAGATGTTATTCCTCCTTGCCCTATACACGAAATCACACCTTCCCTATCTTCATCAACATTTAACAATTCCTCGAAATATTCCCTCCATCTTCCCAATACCTCTAGCTCTCCATTTGATAACTCTCCTCTCCAATTTTTAACTGACAAATCCATTTGTTCTCTAGGGTTTCTTAACTTGTTAATCTCACTCCAAAACTTTTTCTTATTTTCAACAAAATTTGTTGATAACATCTCACCCACTCTCTCATTTGCTCTCTTTTTACATTGCTTCACCACTCTCTTAACCTCTCTCTTTTTCTCCATATACTCTTCCTTCCTTGCATCACTTCTACTTTGTAAAAACTTCTCATATGCTAACTTTTTCTCCCTTACTACTCTCTTTACATCATCATTCCACCAATCGCTCCTCTTCCCTCCCGCACCCACCTTCCTGTAACCACAAACTTCTGCTGAACACTCCCATAGAGATAAGAGGAAATAAACAAGAATAAGAACTAGAAAGAAAATAGAAGAAAACCCAGAGGTGTGTGTGTATATATATATATGCTTGTACATGTATGTGTAGTGTGACCTAAGTGTAAGTAGAAGTAGCAAGACGTACCTGAAATCTTGCATGTTCATGAGACAGAAAAAAAGACACCAGCAATCCTACCATCGTGTAAAACAATTACAGGCTGTCGTTGTACACTCACTTGGCAGGACGGTAGTACCTCCCTGGGCGGTTGCTGTCTACCAACCTACTACCTAGGGATAAATCTCTATTGCTTTAAAAGGAATACACTCTGTTGCCATCCCGAGATTTTATGACTTAATACTGGTTACACACAGGATTTATACACAGAGGTGTATTTTTCTCAATATATATTTGCTGAGAGTTTAATCCCTGTTTTAAGGATTAACCCTTTCACTGTCCAGATTCCCGATCAGAAACTTGTCCACACTGTCCAAGAATTTTCATTTTTTTTTTTTTTTAACAAGTCAGCCGTCTCCCACCGAGGCAGGGTGACCCAAAAAGAAAGAAAATCCCCAAAAAGAAAATACTTTCATCATTCAACACTTACACCTCACTCACACATAATCACTGTTTTTGCCGAGGTGCTCAGAACACAATAGTTTAGAAGCACATACATAAAGATACACAACATATCCCTCCAAACTGCTAATATCCTGAAACCCCTCCTTTAGAGTGCAGGCATTGTACTTCCCATTTCCAGGACTCAAGTCCAGCTATATAAAAATAACTGGTTTCCCTGAATCCCTTCACTAAATATTACCCTGCTGACACTCCAACAGATCGTCAGGTCCCAAATACCATTCGTCTCCATTCACTCCTATCGAACACGCTCATGCATGCTTGCTGGAAGTCCAAGCCCCTCGCCCACAAAACCTCCCTAACCCCTTCCTTCCAACCTTTTCGAGGACAACCCCTACCCCTGGAGGTTATAAAACAAAAAGTACAAAATTTTATGGAAAATTGACAAAATTACGCTTTTACAAATTTTGCTGTGTCAGTTTTGCCCACTTTGAGTCTTATTTTAAGCCAATTACAGTGTTCCAGTCGACCAAATTCTTAGCTATTTTGCTAATATGTCTTTCATTTTATTCATTGAACACAAGAAATTGCCCAATCAACTATTTCAACTACCCAGTAAAGTGATAAGAAATTGGTAATTTGGCCAATCTCACACAAATTTCAGAATATTCCAATTTCCAAATAGGATCCAGAATAAACAATGCAGGCATTCCTGGCACTGAAATAACATTTCTTCTGTTCATTAGTTGTGGTTCCAGGCTTTACACATGAATTCTATTTTGATTTTTTATTCACACAAAAAAAAATAGAAAATTTACTGTTATGCAGTATTGTAATAATGGTATAGATAAAATCAGTGCATTCATGAATGCATATTAGACCCACCAGTTGGACGTGTATTGTTTACCCTTGAACATTGGCAAAAATTGAAGATTTCCACTACTTTAGGCTCAGTTTCAAGCAATTTTCAGTCCTAACACCAATCAAAATCATCTCCATTTCTGTAATATATCTTCCATTCTGTCAAGTGACACCAAGGAACCGAGAATATGACCATATAGTTTTTACAAAACTGCACCGCTGTTTTAAACAGTCGCGGTTTTAAACCAGAATCACAATCGCAGTTTTCTTTTTTTCATGCACTGCGTGCTGCAGGATTTTTTTGTGGTGCACACTTACCGTGTCAACTCATTCTCTAATATCTAGGCCTAAATTTACTGCTCACAGCTTATCTGGGTGAGCTGAGCTCATTACATAGTACAACAACATGTACAATGAACTCGAAGGCATAGTACTACAGCACAGCCAGTAGTACTACAGCACAGGTGTAGTACTACAGCACAGTCAGTGAAAGAGTTAAAGTATTCTTGTCTGGTAGTGAATCCAACCAACCAGTTGATTTTAAAATGGTTGCATTGTGTGTAAATAGGTAATGCCAGAATACTATAATAGAAACAAATATTTTTATAAACTACTTAAAAAAATTTTAATTATCATGTACAACAATAAGACAAATGCCATAAAGGCCAGAAAATTGAAGGGATAGTATATAAAGAGACCTTTTGAAACACGGAAAATAATGCAAATGATAAGACTGTTTAAATCACTTTTCCTCTCTTGTTCAGAATATTGTTCAGTGTTGGTAGTAGTTCCATTCAGGGCAGGAGAGCTATCAGAGCTAGACAAGATAGAGATTATTTTACATGCCTTGGCATATACTCTCTGAAGAAAGAGATAATTAATAATACAGTGGACCCCCGGTTTACGATATTATTTCATTCCAGAAGTATGTTCAGGTGCCAGTACTGACCGAATTTGTTCCCATAAGGAATATTGTGAATTAGATTAGTCCATTTCAGACCCCCAAACATACACATACAAACGCACTTACATAAATACACTTACATAAATGGTCGCATTGGGAGTTGATCGTAAACCGGGGGTCCACTGTATATGGAAGGTGCTTAAGGGCCTAATCTCAAATCTAGACACAACAATAATCACTCACTGGAATGAGAAATATACATGGGAGGAAGTGTAAAATGGACTTGGTGTTAGCAGAGGCACATGGTGCACAATAAGAGATCCCTGTGTCAATATCAATGGTCCAAAGCTGTTCAGTCTGCTACCAACAGATATCAGAAATACTGTATTGCCTGAACAAATATAGCCCTCCAAAAGAAAAGTGGATCACTACCTCTGACAAGTACTAGATCATCCAGGCTGTGTGAACTAGCAGGCCACAAAGAGCTAGTATGGTTGAACAGGTAATCAACAACATAGCTATGAGGGTGAAAAGCCTTTTGAAACCTATCACAGGGATGTTTAGAGTTCATTTTATATTATTAATTCCTACATAGCAGCTATTATTCTAATACAACAGTGGGATGAAGGGAAACTGGCTAGCTGGAGGTGGAAAGTACATTGTCCACACACTGAAGGAACGTTGCTGATATAGTGCATTTTTTTTAACTGTAGTGTAGGCACATCTCTGGTAAGACAGTGATGGAGTGAATGATGATAAAAGTGTTTCTTTTTTTTGAGTCACCCTGCTTCAGTGGGAAATGGCCGATGTGTCAATAAAAAACAATAGTAGGACAACATCATTCATCTTTACTCATGAAATCTTAATAATACAGTTGCAAACAAATCACATTTGATCATCCATCTTTAGCGGGTGCTGCCATTTTTGCAGTCAACTGTTCAGTTGGCAAGTCTCAGTACAGTAATATATTCCTTGTAAATCATCGAAGATTTATCCATTTAGTATTTTTAATCCTCTAATTTTTAGCTAGTCTTAATTATAATATTCCGAGTTCTAAAATAATTTACATATTAAATCAATCTTGAAATAGTTGAGGGTTAAAATTGTCTGTATGAGACATGAGCATATGGTGTATTCATCATTACTGTTAGCAGTAGTAATTGTAACATGGCTTATATATAAACACTTAAAGCACATCAGTTTTTTTTTTTTTTAAGTAAACGTTTCATTCAAGGTGATTTTTATTGCCTCAAGTTAATCATTGTCTTAATTACTACTTGCTGTGCTCTAAGTGTTTTTGTATTAATCATATTTTTGTTGGCACTCTGCCTTCCAACCAGTAAATGTAGTGCTTTTTTTTTCCTGTGGACAAGTGATAATACTATCACCACAGCTTTGTTGCCCACAAGTGGTAGTAAAGGATCCTGTGTGAGCATTTGTCCTGCTGCTTCTCTCCCCAGGTATTGGCTGGTCTGGGCCTCCATCATTCGTCTCGTCTTCTGGCCCCTCCTCCCCCAACATCAACACACTGGAGTTCTTCTCACACCTGCACCGCTACGACACCTACATGCCACCACCATCACCACAGTTCCTCACTCCTATTACTTCTTTAACTACCACAGTTGCTCCCACTAACCTAAATACTGCTATTAGTGATCACACACTCAACCATCCGTTCATCACCAAACTTAATTCTGCTGCTGCCAACTATGTGGCTACCACTGCTATATCTGCTAAGAGTGCTGCAGCTGTTCCTCTCACTCATGTGGCTGCTGATGCTGCTGCTTCTAGACTTATATTAGAACTAACCAACAGCACTACTCCTGGTTACACTCAGGAGCGACTAGGCTTGGCCAGTGAGCACAGTAGTGTTGCAGAGCTGAACACTGGGGTGGCAGAGATGGGCACTTCAGAAGATCTCTCTGGAGATGCTAGTGAACCGGGATCCCCTTCTGAGGGTTCAGAAAGCTTGGGCTCACCCTCGCAGACTGAGGTGGCATCCATCATAGAGAGGGGTGACACAGCCACACCTGATACTCACAGTGATGTCCAGGATCAGGACATCTCATATAGTGAAACCTCAGAACCAGACAACAACTTTTTGCATGTAGCTAATACCAGAAGTGCCACCTCAGACTGATTATTGGTAATATTGTTTTTCATATCAAGGAACAGCTTTAATAAGCTTTTAAGAATGTCATTCCATTCACGTTTTGTCTTATTACTTTGTCTTACTGGCTGTTCCTTAGCCTAAATTCTCATTATTTGTGCCAAATGTAAGCCATTAGCACTGTGGATGCATGTATTGTACAGGTATTTATGTTTGCTCATTATTTATGTTTTGTCTTGTTAATGGATATAAATAATTACAATATGATTGTGCACTGATGTAACAGACACTGCATCTCAACATGTTTTATGAAGATAATGTTCAGCATATTTCAGTTAAGAATTATAATGTCAAAATATATAGGGGCAAGCTAGGATGTTCAGAAACTTTTTAACTGAGGTATTTATGTAAAGCCACTTTTTATGGACAGATTTATTTGGATTGTATCATAGTATGGATAAATATCTGGTCTATTTTGTCCATGATATTTAACATTCCTTGATACTATGGGAAGTTTTGAAGTTAAATTTTTCAAATGACAAAATATAAACTGTCTGAAGCCTCTGCATTTACATAGTCATCAGACGTGTATTGTAGAGGTCTTTTAACATATGTGGGGATGGTTCAGATGCCTGTAGTGCCTTTTTATATTTGATTTTGGGACATCTGTAAATAGGATACACATAATGACCAATTTTTGTCTTTTTCCAACTTTGTTTTATAATCTTTATGAACTAACAATTTTTTTTGCATTGTTCATGGAATATTATTTGATTTTGCAAAGCTCATTCAAACTTATTATATCCATCAATTAAAAATAGTAATTTCAGATCATATTTGCTACACTACCTACCACTATTTAGTACATGTAATACATTTTATTTTTTTTATGGATTGCAGAAACTTTTTAAATTCATTATAAACTTAGAGTAAAAGGAGCATTATTAAAAATGTTTAAAATAGACATACCATGGGAGGAAGAGTAACGAACAGCCATTACACCATTAATCAGCATCCTCATAAATAGTTTTCAACTCTAGTTTCATATTGTTACAGTAGATCATCATTTAAAAAGTAGTTATACTGCACATGATTGTTTTAGCATGATTGAGAAGTTGCAGTGCAAAAATATAGAATGGGAAGAGGCTCAGTATTGAATGTTGTAAGATGTGAATTGTGGTCTTGTGCACTGTGGAGTTCCCCTTCACCTCGCTGGGCTTATGGGTGAATACAATACAGTAATTTGCCTTGAATCCTTTCATTGCCTCATCTCATCTCTGAATAGTAAACTTGGCACTCAAGAGGATGGTGAGGTGCCATAAAGTTTTGATGGTCTCTTAAGAAAATTAAAGTTTCACATATGCTTATGGGTTTATATGTTATGGAGACAGCAAACTCTTTTGGTTTGAGCTAATCATCCATTTGTACAATTAGAAGGAATGAAAAGAAATTAAGAGCTTGTGTAAGGACTAGTGCAGATTGTGATGTGCTCAGAAGAATGACAAAAAGAAAAATACAGATAAATAAGATTGAATATGTGGATTGAGAGGAAAACAAGGAAAGAGACCCAGCTTAGTGCTGAAATGATATAGCACTAAACCTTATCCTACTAAAAACTGTATATACAAAGGAAGGAGAACCTTCACAAAAGGTACTTGTTTACTAGTGGATGGTTTAAAGGCTTCATAACAATGTTTAGTGATGAGAATGCATCAGCTGATCATGTTGCTGCAGGAAAGTTCCCTGCTAACTGTGGGTTAATAATTTCTGAGAACTAATAATCCCTACTAGATGTTGAATGCTGACAAGACAGGGTTATTTCGGAAGTGTATGCCATGGATATCTTACATTAGCAAAAAGAAAAACATGCATCTAATTCCATGGTAGCTATGGATAAGTTCAGCATACTTCTCTGCTCCAGTGCAACACATTTTTGTAAGTACAAACCTATGGTAATTTATCACTTAGAGAATCCCTGAGTTTGAAAAGGTCAAGACAAAGCCTGTTTTATTGCTATATGGTACTCTAATACAGCAGCATGGATGACTGAGGTTGTTTGTTGACTGATACAAGCATTACTTTATTCCTGCTGTCAAGATGTACATTGCTACAAAAAGCCTTGCAGTTTTGCCATTACCACATGTGTGTACATGCATTTACATGTCTGAATAACTCCTTGATCCAGTGGTTGTATCAGAGATGTATTTTTTTTTTAACACACGGGCTGTGTCCCACTGAGGGAGGGTGAAATAAAAAGAAAAATTAAAATTTTTCTTTGTAAATTAAGTAATTTATACAGAAGGGGTTACTGGCCTCTTGCTCCCAGTATTTTAGTCGCCTTTTCTGATGCGCATGGCTGGTGAAGGAAGAATTCTTCTCCATTTCTCCATAGAGAGCCAGAGATGTATCTTTCTTTCTTTCCACACATCGGCCGTATCCCACCGAGGCGGGGTGGCCCAAAAGGAAAAACGAAAGTTTCTCCTTTTACATTTAGTAATATATACAGGAGAAGGGGTTACTAGCCCCTTGCTCCCGGCATTTTAGTCGCCTCTTACAACACGCATGGCGTACGGAGGAAGAACTCTGTTCCACTTCCCCATGGAGATAAGAGGAAATAAACAAGAACAAGAACTAGAAAGAAAATAGAAGAAAACCCAGAGGGGTATGTATATATACGCTTGTACATGTATGTGTAGTGTGACCTAAGTGTAAGTAGAAGTAGCAAGATGTACCTGAAATCTTGCATGTTCATGAGACAGAAAAAAGGACACCAGCAATCCTACCATCATGTAAAACAATTACAAGCTTTCGTTTTACACTCACTTGGCAGGACGGTAGTACCTCCCTGGACGGTTACTGTCTACCAACCTACTACAGTGGTAAAAATACATCTTTAACATTTGAAACCACAAGCTGCAACATTTGAGAATGACAGAATTGTCAAGAGTGATGATGGTTCTTGACAGTTCTGTCATTTACAGATGTTAGAGTCTGTGGACCTAAATGTTAAAGTTGTATTTTTACAACCTTATATGACATCTTTGATACAACCACAACATTGAGGAGTTATTGAAACCTGTAAGTGCTTCTGCACACAAGGTAATGGATAAACTTGTGACAACAGTGGATGATAGCTCTAAGATTGGAATCCCAGAGTTCTGGTGTAACTTAAACATTGCAGATGCATTTTCAACCATAAATGCAGGCTAGGGTCAAATATTACTTTCTCTGGTGAATAATATATGTGATATTCCCTCAGTAAGTAGTCCTGTCAAGGAAATTGTGTTCTGGTAAGGACAGTGACACTTGGAAGCTTTCAAAGTATGCATGAAGACAAAAGAAATGATAGATGATGATGATGGAGGATGATATTGATGATGAGGAAGTTCCTGAAGAAGAAATGCTGGAGGATCTCGGTTCCCAGTTAAGAAAGAAGCAGATAAAAGAAGAGCATGACAAAGAACAACTTTGAAGATAAATGGTTAACACTGCAGGAATTAACCATTGCTGTGAAATAGGGTTTGGAGCAGGTGATGATATCTTATTATCACCTGTATAAAATACTTTTGGAAAAAAAGGAGCACTACAGAATACTTGAACATTCCAATATCGGCTGATATACATCTCTCAGTGTGTACATGCACTGTTATGCTCAGCACACACACACACATGAAGTAGGATATATTCCACAGAATATATATAACTTTGACCCTAGTGTAGTTGATAGGCTTTAAACCCCATTAACCAGCCTAAATCTGTAGCCATCAACTACTGACAACTCTGCATCCATATCAACACAAAAACCATAGTTATCTACCTCAGCCCAGTAGGAGCCACATCAATCTTCTCCACAAACTTTCAAGTCATTATGCAATGTTAACTGCAATGTAAGGGGATAAAAAATTTATTGTTTTGCAATATTGTAGAAAAAAGTTGTTTGATTTTCTGGAGGTCTGTTTAATATAACTCCATTTTTAGCATGCCTTCTTCAGATTTGTTAGCACCAAATTAGATTAAATGCTGATTTTCATGACCATACCCACTTTTCTAACTGATGGTCTTCCGTTTTAAAAAACATGAACTAAATCCATGTGGGTCTTACAACAAAATAAATATTATGTCTATAGGTATTTTACTGCAGTGAATGATCCCTTATCCAGTGGTGATGGGGAAGGGTGTACTGGATTTTCTGAAATGTACCAGATCATGGGTTATTTTTGTATAGACCATATTTTTTTTGCACAGACCTTTTTAGCCTTATTTTCAATAAGATGTTTTTCCTCTGAAAATTTTCACCAAAATCATTTATAGTGTTTATATGTTTAACTTAAGCATGTATGAGCAAAGTTAATGTTTGTTTAATGAGGATTCGTCAAGAATGATAGATCGTATTAATTACGATTTTGTTAAGATAAATATTTTTTCCTGTTGGTTTTTTGCCAAATATATTGGTAGCTTGTATACATTCTTTTTATGTATATGTGAAGAGAGAGATTAGTAATATAAATTATAAATATTACAGTAAACCCTTCATTTAACATATATACTTTGGAAATCTTCTTTCTTCTTTCAACAAACCAGCTGTATCCTACCAAAGCAGGGTGGCCCAAAAAGAAAAACTAAGGTTTCTTTTTTTAAATTTAGTAATGTATAGAGGAGAAGGGGTTACTATCCCCTAGCTTGGAAGTATGAAACAAAATCTGCCAGGTCAGTTGATTTAGAAACAGTGGACAAAGTCCTTTGGTCACTGAATTGTTCATTATTATTACAATCGCAGCAAAACAATATTCTCTCTATCCACCACAGTTGTCATTTCTGGTCATTGGCTTTCCCCCACAATTATTGGTCATCTGATTCCCCCGCAATTACTGGTCATCTGCTTTCCCCACGATTACTGTGGGTCTTTGTCGTCCCATCTCTCTGTCTGCTTGTCTCTCTTTCTGTCTCAGAGAGAGAGCCGCTCATGAACCAACAGGTATTACACACAGTGCAGAGTCGTCATGTCTGATTCCTGAACAAGTCATGCTTATTATGCCTTTTATCAACAAGCACAGTATAGCACTTTGTCTGAATTTATTTGGTTATTCTAGGTAATTTACCTGTGAGATAGAGACAGCCAAAGTCTATCGGCCAGCTGGCCTGCTGAACACATGTTTCTCTTTACTTAGGGCATAGATTATAGGACATTCTGGCAGGATGACACTACCAGTGGTACCAAAATTAAAAGGAAGTTGCATATGTTAGAGCCTGGATGTTCAGTAAGTTTAATTTTAACAACCATAGAATTGACTGGGAAAAAATAAACCAAGAGCTATCAGACATATCCTGGGAAGCAGACATGAGCACCCTAAATCCCCCCCCAGTGCCTAGAGAGGCTGAATAGAGAAGCATACAAGGTATGTATGAAGCACATACCATTGAGGAAACCCAGAAGGAGATCAGATATAGGGAGAGAGCATAGGAGATGGTACAGAAGAAGAAAACAGGTTACTGAATTGCTTAAAAACACAAATATGCTACAACAGAGGAAAGATAGGCTTTGACAAGAGATCATTGAACTAGAGCAAAAACTTAGGATTCATATCTAACAGAGGAAGTACAAAGGGAACAAAGGGCCATACATGATATTGCAAGAAACCCAAAATATCTCTATTCTTATGCAAAATCCAAGCTAAGGACTACCTGTAGAATTGGACCACTACTGAGAGGAGACTCGTATACTAGAAATGAGTGAAATCTTGAAAGAACAGTATGAGTCAGTGTTCAGCAACCCACTAAATGACAGCAAGGTAGAAAATGCAGAAATATTTTTCACTCCAGAAGAAAGCCACGCAGATCAGCTAACTGACATTAGTACAAATCCCATAGATTTCAAAAAGGAAATGGACAACATGCCCACTCACTCAGCACCTGGACCAGATTCATGGGATGCTCTATTTATAAAGAAGTGTAAAGTCCCATTAGCACAAGCACTCAGCATTCTTTGGTGAAATACCAGAGGCTTTAAAGAGTGCAGACATAGCTCCTTTGCATAAGCACTAGCTAAAAATTACAGACCATTAGCCCTAACTTCTCACATCATAAAAAAATCTTCGAAAGAGTGATGAGACAGCAGATTACAAATTTCATGGACCAGCATAACCCAAACCAGCATGGTTTTAGAGCAGGACGATCATGCCTGTCACAGCTGCTGAATCATTATGACAGAATTACAGAGGCATTGGAAGACGACCAAAATGCAGATGTGATTCACACAGATTTTGTGAAGGCATTTGACAGATGCAATCATGGAGTGAAAGGGCACAAAATGAGGTCCATGGGCATTACAGGGAAGGTAGGCAGATGGATTTTTGGGTTCCTAACACACAGAACACAAAAAGTAGTAGTGAACAGGGCAAGATCCAGCATCAGCAAAGTCAAAAACTCAGTGCCCCAAGGCACTGTCCTGGCACCTCTGCTGTTTCTCATCCTCATAGCAGTTATAGATAAAAACACCCAGCACACTTTTGTATCATTATTTCCAGATAACACTAAAATAAGCATGAACATCACTACGGTAGAGGACACCAAAAAAGTACAGGAAGACATAAGCAGGGTTTTCAAGTGGGCAGTGGAGAACAACATGACGTTCAGTGGTGATAAGTTCCAGCTGCTTAAGTATGGAAAGAATGAAGAACTCAAAAGGAATACTATATACAAAACACAAGAGGGTCACCAAATAGAACGTAAGGAACACGTAAAAGACCTGGGATGAAGTTGGTCCACAAAATATTGTCAGAATAAAGGTAGTAGTGTAGGGGAGGAAACTGGACCACTACTTGTGTAAAGGCTAAAGCATCTATGTTGGGATGGCTATGTAGGCTTGTGTGCTGCTAACAGCAACATCCTGGTTGACCAGGCTAAAGCAACTCTGTTGGGATGACTCTGTAGGTTTGTGCTGCAAACAGCAACAACCTGATTGACCTAGGCAGTTGACAGTGGCATCTTTCATCAGGCTGTGTACCTTTGATATACCTTTGAAGAGTTTCGAGAGTTTAACTACTCTCAGAGCCCAGCCATGGGCCAGGCTCCTCTGCTTTGTGAAGTCTCAGTACCAGTCACACATACATCACAAAAATGTTTATAAGGTCATTTGATCTCCAGAAGTGGGGAGAGGGCCCACACACTGAGTAGGTTGTCAGTATCTCCCCAACTTTGTACCCAAACTAATGACCTTGCATTTAGATTTTGCATCTCTATTTTCACTTAATGCATTTTCTTGAAGTGTGTTCTACTGAATATTTTTCCCCTCATTAGCCATCTTCAACCAAGGCAGGATAACCTAAAGAAGGAAGCATATGCTATCATTCATTCAATATCTGTCTTGCCATAAGTTTGCTGATATCACAATTCAAATTACCCTCCGACTCCAACATCCCCACCCTTTCTTCAGAGAGCAGACACTGCCTGTCCCACCTTCAAGACTCAAGTCCTGGTTTACCTGAATTCCTTCATAAATGTTACCTTGCTATTTTTATATTCATAAACAACTGCTAAACCCATGATGATATTCATTGCTGCCTAAATCTTAAGAAACAAACAGTGCCTGATACCCGTAGAAGCAAGGACAAATTTATAGACTCTGCTTGTAAGTTTAGTGTAGATGCTAGTAGAGCTTTACAGCTCCTCTGTTTACACCTCATCTCTCACTGGCATGGTTAAAATTATTGTAAATAACATACAGAATTATAAAAATGCCATACAGTACTGTATGCTGTATTCTTAGTGTCGAGTTGTCTCCTGCATTAGTGGACCAAGTCTCATAATTCAGAAGGCAACTAGGCAATCATGAAAATTAGTTTCATAATTTGGAAGTTGTAGACAGGTAATATCATACACTCCCTCCTACCTGTTAATCCATTAATGAGAGGGTTCACTGTACAGTAGGGCCCCACATATATGGCAGGTTAGGTTCCAGGCTACCACTGGTAAGCAGAGTGCCATTTTTCCACTTATAAATGCTTATAAATGCCAGATAACAAGTTTACACTAACATATATTAAATTAGCAATAGAACTAGGCATTAAAAACAGTAAAAAGTAAAATACACACACAGAACACTCTTTACTTACCTTAAAATATTTGTAGTCTTAATGTAGAGTGAGAGATAAGTAGTATTTATTGTAAGAAGTCAGGTGTGGTAGGTATGGTAGCCCTCCTGGCCACCCCACACACGTAATATACTATGACATTTAAAGTGCCCCAGAGCAATAAAATGCATATACAGTACATTCATTACTTACCTTAAAATATTAATAGTCTTAATGTGGGAGTGAGAGGTGAGTAAACGAGGTAAAATGAATAAACAAGAGAGAACAAGTAAATGAGAGACAAGAGAGAGAGAGACCGTATTTATCGAGAGAGACAACATCTGTTTTTGTTCATACAGTGTAACTTCACATTTATGTTAAATTTATTTACATGAGCGTATTTGATCATAGTTATATGTTTTGTAGCATGTTTATTATATAATTTTGAAAAAATATCATAGATGGATTAATGAAAATGTTTATATTAATGTAATATATGACATTAAATATGCTTCAGAGTGATTATTGCTTATTATTATTATTATCACTGTTAATATGGCATCCTCAAGACTAATAAGACACTCTTAGTGATTTAAATGTGTACCTGCATGCCAGGACAGTGTGTAAGTTTATTTAGATACAGGTACACAAATATTATTATCAGAGTAAATATAAAACATGAAATAGCTTTAAAACACTTGAAATTTTTGAAAGTTTCTAGACATAATGGAGAGACATGGAGATCACTGAGATGTAAACAAACAGGTAGGGGGAACCGTATAGCGAATTTTGGTCATAATTTGAAATGTCCTTATTACTGGAGCACTGTAAAGTGAAGCTCCATAAACGGGGGCCCTACTGTACTTTCTCCTGGAACTCACTACAGAAATTTACTCTATGAAGAAATAGTTTCTTATATCATTTTGACACCATTTTCTTAGTCTACGATTGTGGCTTCTTGTACCTCCTGTTAGTAGTGCTACCTGTTTTATCATATTCTTTTATGATCTTATTGTATATAATTTAAAAGACACCAATGGAAACAAGATAGTCTTTGATGACAAACTGATTATTAGGTTATCCTGGGTTAATAACTGTGATAACTAACTGTGGCTTAGTAGGCAATGCTTTCACCTCACACAATGTCTGTGGTTCCACCCTTGACCGAGTAGAAATATTGGGCGTGTTTTCTTACACCTGCTGTTCCAGTTTACCTGGCAGTAAGTAGGTACCTGAGTGTTAGTTGATTGGTGTGGATGGCATCCTGGGGGACAAGATTGAAGGGCCACAATGGAAATAAGAGAGTCCTCGATGACACAATGACTTATTTGGGTATCCTGAGTGGCTAATCCTCCGGGTTTAAAACTCCAAATAAATCTCATCTTATCCTAACCCTCCAGATTAAAAATCTGAATAAATATTATCTTATCCTAACCCTCTGGGTTAAAAATCTGAATAAATCTTATCCTATCCTAACCTCCAGGTTAAAAATCAAAATAAATCTTATCTGGGTTAATAATCCCAACCAAATTTTCATCTATCATTTTTTCATCCCATTGATGGTATTTCCAACATTCTCAATCTCTCTTCATAACTCTCAACTCTGGCAGATATTTTCTACCTATTGACAACTAACATTCCAGTTTTCTTTTCATATATTACTGGAATGAGGCCTATCACCAGGCATGTCTTTTTGTATGCCTATTGTCATTAAAAAGTTTTATATTTATGTATTTTCTTAAAAGTCATGTAATAAGTATATTAATTGGAGCTAACCTGATTATTATAACTAATTATAGATATAAATACTGTAATAAATTTAAAAGTAAGAAATATTTCGATAATAATATGCAATCTTACTTTTTTTTTATTCATGGGAAAGTGCTAAATCCATGGGGGTCATACAGCATCTTGGAAATGGGGAATGGGGGGGGGGAGTAATTAGGTTTAATCCAAGGAAGTGGAAGGTGGCTCCATATCTTTGAATCAAGAGCTCTTTGTAAGGTATTTTATTCTTTTTAGTGTGTGTTTTGGTGTTGATGCAAAATAGATGACAGTAAAAGAGAATTTATATCATTACATGTACCACATTTTTCTAGAATAAGTATTCATTGTCATTTTTATTTATTATATTTTTATATTAATTTGAAGTGATCATTACTAATGTAACAATTATTTTTCTTATGTTACATTTTTTTTTTTAATTAAACTATAATACAGGGTTAAATATCTTATAAAATGTTTGTATTTATTGTGTATATGCAAATATCTTAATGCTAATAAATATTTTGGAAAGTTTATCTGATTGTAAAATATGTTTAGTGCCATTATTTATTTTTGCTCAATATCTCAACTATGATGTACAATATACATTACTAAAATATACATTACCAAAACCAGTTTTTATTTGCCATTATCTGTGTGCATATATATTTATCTGGCTCTCAGGTGAGCTAGGTTTAAAGCCAGTTAACTGCTTGAGGGTTAAGCTTGTATGTCGCCTGTACACCACCAGTCAAAATTATTTTAATCCCTAAATTAGGGTAATGAATTAACTCTGTGTATATGTACCAAGAAATGGATTCTTATGGTAACAGTTTAGGATTTTTTCTACTTCAGTGGCTACCATCCACCATAGCAGAGGGTGACCCAGTGAAGAAATATATTCAGTATCACTCATTCAGTTGCTCTCTTGCCACAAGTGTGTTGATATCACAATTCAGATTACCATCCAACTGCAACATCTCCACCCTTCTTCAGGGTGCATCTACTGCCCTTTTCACCTCAAGGACTAGTCTGACTGACTAGTTTCCATTAAAATCTACTTATCTTCATTCACTCCTAACATACACAAGGTTGCTGGATACTCAAACTTCCTTTACCCCCTCCCTCCAACCATTCCTGGGATGACCCCTACCACTCTTACCTCCTAGACCAGATTTATAGAGCCTCATCATCATCCTGTCATCTCCATCATCAATGCATGCCCAAACCACCTCAACAACCCTTCCTCAGCCCTTTGAAATATACCCTTAATTAATGACTGCACATTGCCTTTTAATTTCCACACTCATAATTCTCTACATGATATTCACACCACACATTGCTCTCAAACATTGCTGCCTCCAGCCTCCTCGCTGCAACATTCAAACCCTGTGCCTCGCCTATGCAAAAATATTGTTACCACTGTACTCTAGTATTCCCCTTTTTTGCCTCCACAACTAAACCTCTCTTTTTCACAGATGCCTCAACACCCCTCCTATAGTTTTCCTCTCATCTGTACTAAAGTTTACCTTGATTTTCATAGACCCATTTGCTGACATGTCCACTCCCAGATATCTAAATACATCCACCTCCTCCATATTCCCTCCCTCCAATCTAATATTCAGTTTATCATTGTTATCCTCATGTTGCATTTTTCTATGTTCATCTTTCGTTTACTTCTTTTACATACCCTCTAAAATTTCTCCACCAACTTTTGCAATTTGTCATTAGATTCCCTGAAAGAACTGTCATCAGCAAAGAGCAACTGTGACAACTCCCACCTTATATCAGATCCAGAATCTCTAAACCCAACACACTCTTCCCAACACCCTAACATTCACTTCTTTTGCAAACCCATCTAGAAATATGTTAAACAACTATGGTGACATCACGCATCCCTGGAAATTAGTCACCCTCCTTTCTACATGCCGTAACCTGAACAACACTCTCCAAATGAAAACTCTTAACTGCTTTTAGTAACCTATCTCCTATTCCACATTGTATATTTGCAACATTTGCCACATGGCTTCCCCATCCACCCTATCATATGGCTTTTCTAAATCCATAAATATGATAAATATCTTTTTACCCTTAACTAAATACTGTATTCCTCACTAATATCTTTCAGTGTAAACTCTTGATCTACATATCCCGTACAGTTCCTGATTTCTCCCTGCTGTTCTGCAGGAAGAACTCAGGAATGGTGTCGTACCCTAACCCCTTCAATAATAAATCCACTACGAATTTTACCCAGTATAATGAGTAGGCTTATCCCCCTATAATTCTTACATTCTCTCTTGTTCCCTTTTCCCTTATACAAGGGAACTATGCATGCTCTCTGCAAATCTTTTAATACCTTCCATTCTTTCATGCATATGTTGAACAAATACACCAACTATTGCAGTACTTTATCTCCATCTGCTTTTAACTTCTGTCTTAATCCCATCCTGGCTACTTTCCCACTGCCTCACATACTGTACACCTGGAGAGGGTTTCGGGTGGCAATGCCCCTGCGGCTCGGTCTGTGACCAGGCCTCATGGTGAATCAGGGCCTGATCAACCAGGCTGTTACTGTAAACTGACATACAAACCACAGCCCAGCTGATTAGGTACTGACTTTAGGTGCCTGTCCAGAGCCTTCTTGAAGACAGACAGGGGTCTATTGGTAATTCCCCTTATGTATGCTGGGAGGCAGTTGAACAGTCTTGGGCCCCTGACACTTATTGTGTTCTCTTATCATGCTAGTGGAGCCCCTGCTTTTCATTGAGGGGATGTTGCATTGCCTGCCGAGTCTTTTCCTTTCAAAGGGAGTGATGTTTTATCGTACATGTGTGCTGTGAAGGTTCTCTGCACATTTTCTAGGTCAGCAATTTCATCTGCCTTGAAAGGCGCTGTTAGTGTGCAGCAATATTCCAGCCTAGATGGAACTGTCCCCACATCTAGTTAAAACTCCTCATTCCTACTCAAGGTATGAAATCACTGCTTCCTCTTCATCACTGACATTCAGCAACTTGTCAAAATATCCTCACCATGTTTCCAGTACCCACACATCTCCATCTAACATCTCTCCTCTTTCAGTTTTAACTACTAACCCCATTTGCTTTCCAGTCTTTATCACTTTATTGATGTTTCTCCCAAACAGTTTCTTATTTTTTTTTATTAACACATCGGCCGTTTCCCACCAAGGCAGGGTGGCTCGAAAAAGAAAAACTTTCATCATTCACTCCGTCACTGTCTTGCCAGAGGCGTGCTTACACTAGAGTTATAAAACTGCAACATTAACACCCCTCCTTCAGAGTTCAGACACTGTACTTCCCATCTCCAGGACTCAAGTCCAACCTGCCAGTTTCCCTGAATCCCTTCATAAATGTTACCTTGCTCACATTCTAACAGCATGTCAAGTATTAAAAACCATTTGTTTCCATTCACTCCTGTCAAATACGCTCAAGCATGCTTGCTGGAAGTCCAAGCCACTCGCACACAAAACCTCCTGTACCCCCTCCCTCCAGCCTTTCCTAGGATGATCCCTACCCCACCTTCCCTCCAC